AATCAAATACATACATACTCCTCTGAACTGCCACCTTGGCGGGTAGACGGAACCGAGGGTTGAGGATGTTTGCCGCACATGCCCAGAACCGATTTCGATCGGGAAGCCCAGGCGTGAGAAAAGTCGACGTGTTCCTTTGGAACATGTCATGACACTGCCATCGATGCTATCATATTTAGGTCAGGCTGGCGCACGTGCCCCTGACACCCGACCTCAGTGTGACTCAGCAAAGCCATGTGAGTTGCTGCCAAGTTCTGACCAGCCCCCACGCCGCAACACTCCATTATCTATGCTCAATACGTACCGCTCCCTCTGAAATCCATTCACGCCTGAAGTGGCCAGTTTGCAGTCTGCGCCACATGATCCGAGCCTTCCTCATACTGCATCACATCCGCCCGGTCCTTACCTGCACTGGGGTTGCCACGATGCTACCCGACAGAACTACCCTGTACCTGGCTTGCAGGGTCGGTGGTGGCCCCACCAGAATGGGTAAGCGATCATAAAAAGTGCTGTGGCCAGGGCTGCTGGCTCAGCACAAAGAGGCACCATACAGGCCGATGGTGCACGCTGCGTACACTTGCCAACAAATATGCCCCGCAGACTGTGCATCAACGGGGCCTGGCGTCTGCAAGTCGCTCCGCAACCACATGGGCCACATGTCCGCTTCCTTTGTTATAACTGTGGTGGCCTGAGCAGTGATTTTTACACTGAACTGCTGTGTGCACTGGAGGCCATGCCTGCTGCAGACAAACCGCACCTTGTGGCCCTCCAGGAAATGTCTGCTTGTGCAGGGACTCAAGATGCAGGTGCATTTCTAGCACGATGCTAGCCGTCGATGGGCGCGGCACGCAGGCACAGTTACTGCAGAGGTCGATGCACCAAGACTGATCTGATTCGCATGTCCACAGTAGGTTGGCAAGTTGACTCTGCCACACATTGTTGAGCTTCAGGCCAGAGAGTAGGCATTGGCACATATTGGCACAGAGAGTGCAAGCTGAGACTGCTGCGTGCAAGGAGCACTGAGCCAAAAGAGCACAAGAGTCATGGAGTGATTCACCATCATGCGCCCTATACAGCCGTGTTTTGTTAGGGTCCTGGGCCAGTCTAGAGAGCTTACCGTTCGAAGCAGGGGCCCGGTTTTCACGCACAAAGAACATCGAAGCTGAGAGCCAAGAACCAAAGTAGTGGTAGTAGTAGTAGGAGTAGCAGTTTTCGAGTTTCGAGCGCAGCAGATCTATCCACCAAGCGACGGAACAGTGAATGAGCAGGCTGAGATCGCCCGGCAGTACGCACAGCTTCGCTGTCTCACACCTCCCGATGTCGTCACCGCCCCGTAAGGCCTGTAGCATGACGACAGTGGCAAAAGATTATCAGCAGACCTGTATCATCAGACACTTTCGAAAGCATTATGTGACATGTCCGCCTCTGAAGCTTGCTGATACAGCAGAAGGTAACAGGTCGAGCGCTGCCACTCAGGAGAGGATGAAAGCCGCTCAGAGGTTCGATATCGTCGCAGCTCCAACACTGCCCTTAGCTTGATAGTGGCCTGCTTTCGGGTGCTGTCCATGATGGTTGATCACCGCTCTCAGATCATACCGGATGAACCGCACCTCCACACCCGCCGCACGAAACTCTGGAACGTTGAGAACCTGATTGATGTGCACAGCAGTGTGTAGTTTATGTACACGACCTTCGCGCAATCCGAACCGAGCTAGCTGCAATTGTAGCACCGTAGGCGCCCTCATGAAGGCATGTGTTGAAGTTTGCACATGCCAAGCATCGACCAGTGATTGAACCTGAATGGGAGCTGCAAGACCAGGGGGCACGTCCGGCAAGTTGAGCAGTACTGGCTGAGCACTGGACCCCGCATCACAAGGTCGCCCAACCCCATCCCCAAAAGCCGTTGGATCCCGGGCCTCCCACTCTCCTTGCACCAACTGTATGTCATGCCGATTGCTGAAGTACGACGCAAACTCCACAACATCATGCTGCCTAGCTGGTTCCCGCCAGCCACTCATCAGCATTTTCCACGTCATGTCCTGAGATAGATACTTGACAGCCTTCTTGCGTTGCAGCAAAGTGCGGAAGAAATGAGCACTGCGCCCCATCTGCGGCATGTAAAGCGGCATGTCAAAAACCACCGCCCAAAGAATTGCCTGAACGAAGCTGTTCATGTAGCAGGAATTCGCCTTGTTTCCTAAGCGTAGATCAAGAGCCCGCCTCATTTCTTCGCTAAGAGATCCCTGATCTTCTCGGCAAGTGGCCCCTTGCGTAGTCCGGCTTTCTTGTAAGCCAGTCCGATGAGCTGCAAGGCACAGCTGCCCTGTAACATCAGGAGATGTTGCCACGCTTCCTGCCCCGACCCTCGGCTGGAGACGTCCAGGTAGAAGGTCGCCTGCCCCTCCATGGTCTCCGTGAGCTTCCTGGTGCAATGAAATCTCGTGACTACATCTCCCTTCAGTAGACCATACAGGCGCTCCAGCACATGCTTGATTTCCTCCGTCGTCAAGGGTTTGCGCTCCTTGTCCTCTTGCAGGTGCCTTAGATTGGCGTTCCAGACCTGGTACTTCCATCTCCCCTGCTCGTCGA